GTGAGTGCATCAGCACTTAAAACAGTGGAAAACCGTAAACAAATGTGTGAGGCAAAGTGAGCTTATGGGCTTAAAGGCTCATCTCGCATGATCTTATCCTGTTATCGTTGAAATTAAACGACTAATGATACCGCTACTCCTTCCTGGAAGGAATGCCTCCCCCCTCTTAAGATTTCATCAAGGAAGTCTAATTCTGGGCAAGGAGAACAAATAGAACAACTTTCAATTCAGTAATGACAATAGACCGGGAATGCTTGATTTTCTCCACAGAACTTTGTGATTGGTGCTAAAAGTCTCGTACCTCATTGAATACATCAGTTAAAAAATTGCAATTAGCTGCGACTGGTCGTGCACACTTTCCCGCCCTCGAAGTTGTGAGATGGGCTCTTATTGGCTTCTCGTGGTGTGAAGCTCTGTTCTGATTGGCTGTGGGGACTACGCTCGATAACTTTATTAACCTCTTTGAGAATACCTAATCAAATGGATGATGCTTGGACTACGATGAGTGGCAAAAGTAGTTAGCGCACCTTCCTCTGGTGGGTGGTCGGCAACCCTCCAATCGAGGTAATAAAAAGAAATCTTGTAAGTTTCTTGAAAGTCCCCCATTTCCCCATTTTGTCAACACCATGCATCATTGAAATAGGGGAAAGTAGGAGATAAAAAAGAGTTCAAAAAGTAGTATGGCTTGCCAAGGCTTTTGCCACTCATTGTAATTTTTTTCCAATTAAAGTTAATTTTAGCAGGAGAACACCAAACGTTATTAAAAAATTACTCTCCAAAAGGAGCTGAAGCAACTTTCAGTGGGAATACTAAAATAGGAAAAAACATACAAGCCTGATTTTTTTTTAATTTCTTTTTTTTTTAATAAAGTTTATCCAGTCGTTCTTTAACAATGCCCATGGTATACCTGGTCCAGCTGGGTTTTTTTAAGTTGTGAAACTATGGTTGTCACAGTAACGCTCGAAACGTCTCCTTTGAAACTCTTTACGGTGGCAAATTTACGTTATCAACTCAATTGATAATACTAAATCATCCTGTTTTACTCTCCCGCCGACGCAGTACCACAATTTCTTATGAAACTCACCCCCCTTTCATGGTTAACACACTTGGTGTAGGTTCTGTAAGTTCCCACATATCGTTCTCAGATAATAACTGGGACATAAGATCAACACATGGACTTTTATGCTCAAATACTGAAGACAAAAGAATCAGTGATCAACAGGTCGTTTAGTGATACTCATACTTCATGGTGTTTGTTAATCTCAAATATTAACTCATGCCTCACAACTTCCTTAGGTATTGGACTTTCTTCCAAAACTGCAAAAATAAGTCATAGGTTCAAATCCCTTACAGGCCTGAATTTTTTTCATGGCTTATTTCCTCTGCTGTTTGAGTAGTGTTCATTACTGCGAAGATCGCTTCCATATTCGGATACTAGTTTAGTTCATTACTCAGAAGGAGTCAGAAGAAAAGATCTGATTACCAGATATTAGAGGTGTCTGCTACTCCATTTTATGGGCAAAATACATGTAAATGCATGCTCAGTATGTAAAATCTTAACAGGCACTATATAAAGAGGTTTTGAAAAGTTTGGGTTTGAGAAGAGGCACAAAATATAATCATTCACGTTTGAAGTTGCTTCAGCTTTTGCGAAGCCTAACGCACAGCTCACTAAGATGACCTTCTCCCTCAAAGATAACCCAACCACTCTTCAAACAAGGACCACTATTCCTCACAGGGGGATGGGTGTTTCAGGCACTGATGTGCTAATAACTGAAATAAATAAAAAAGACCCCTAATAATGATATAAATCTCATTAACGCATTAAACCTTGAGAACATCGTAACCAGGTTCCAGACCTCGTCAATTCTTAGCCCCCTTCCCCGCTCCCCATCCCCGAACTGGTCTCTAAATCCCCTTGAAGAACTCTTCTACAGCTAGTACTGAAGATTTTTACTACAGTTTTTATTCAGCATAATGAAAGGCCATTGCTGGAAAAGGAAATCAAGATGACTTGCTGTGCATCTGGCCAAAGTAGGAGTGCGCCTGGAGGTGTATGGGTTCAAGGAGGAGGCATCGAGATTCCTTGCGTTTATGAAATTGGCGTCAAGAAAGGAATTAAAAGTCTAAGAAAAGAACTGAGAGACAAACTAATACAACTCGTTCAAACCACTGACAATACAATCTAGGAAGACATCCGGAGCCCACCCATGTCGCAGTTAAAACATGAAACTGGACAGACGAATTTTGTCTTATTTGTTTATGGATGTTGGTAATGATTTAC